CAGGCTTCTCCATGCCAAAAGCTTTTGCAAAGAAACAGAAGGCCTGAAGCAATGTGAGATTGCTCCCTGAAGCATTTTGTCCATTTGCAAAAGCTTTTGGCACAGGGAAGAGAAGGCTTTGGAGGCATGGTCTCATTCTCCTTCAGACTCACCTAGGCTGCCTGACACTCCAAAAATGGATTGGGCATCCTGCACAGGTAGCCTCGGTGAGTCAGCAAAGCTGAGCAGGGCGCACTCATCCCACTCAGCCTCTGCTCTCCCCACTCCGCTGTTCAGGAGCAGGCAGCTTGACAGCCTGGCTGCAGGGTGGGGGGAGGAAGAGGGGAATCTGATCACATGAGTGGCAGGCTGGTGCACATGCTGCACTCACACAAGAGAGAAGAGAACCATTTGGGGTACTGTTCACATGAGTGGAGCTGCACACACATTCATGCACTTCAGTCTGCCTCTTGTGTGGCCCGGTTCTGAATAGGCCATGTTCCAGTAGTGGGCTGGGGGTTGGGGATGATGATGATGATGATGATGTAGGAAACCCTATATCATTTCAGACAAATAGCTGAAAAACTTCTCTTCTTAAAAACTTCCAGTGTTGGAGCATTCACAGCTTCTGGAGGCAGGTTGTTCCACTGATTAATTGGAACTAACTAACTAACTAAGGAAATTTCTCCTTAGTTCTAGGTTGCTTCTCTCCTTGATTAGTTTCCATCCGTTGCTTCTTGTCCTGCCTTCAGGTGCCTTGGAAAATAGCTTGACTCCCTCTTCTTTGTGGCAGCCCCTGAGATATTGGAACACTGCTATCATGTCATCCCTCGTCCTTCTCTTCATTAAACTAGACATACCCAATTCCATCAACCCTTATAGGATGTCCTGCCTGAGCAGGGGGTTGAACTAGAAAATCTCCAAGGTCTCTTCCAACTCTGTTATTCTTTTATACTGATTGAACAACAATAATAACATTTAATTTCTAAAGAACTAAATATGTTTTTTGAGGGGCAGGAATCTAAAACCCTATGGTCTTGAAAAGTGATAGGAACTAATGAGGGACAAAAAACCCCATAACTCTGCCATAAGAGAGTTAAAATATATTGATTTGATTATTAGAATTTTAAAACACTTCAATCTTGCTATTTGACAGTTCACAAAGGAAAAATCCATAATTAATTATATAATAATAAAACAATCATAACACAGATACTAAATTACTTTATGGAGCCCAGAAAGAATTCTGTGGTTTTCCCTTAACTAATTAAGAAGCCTTCCTGAAAAGCTGCATTTTAGCTTCAAAAAAGACAGCAAGCTTCAAGCAAGCCTAAATTCCAGTGGTGAACTATTTGACAGCAAGGGTACAATAATGGAGAAGCATTTTCTCCTAGTCTTGGCACCTCAATCTCCCAGTAATTAAGAAATATCAGCAGATATTTTTACAAATTGTACAGGAAGATTCTTATTGAAGGAGGCACCCTGCAAGTGGTTTGCCCCCAACCGATATAGTTTAAGAGACGGAGACAGAGCGTTTTTACTCTTAATGGAATTACTGGAAATTTTTAGTTGTCTCTATCAGGATTCAGCAGTTTAATAATCTCTCGTAGAATTAAACAAAAATGAATTTGCATTTGATTCCTTATTCACAAGAAACTATTACAGAACATTTATTATTCAAATCATGCTATTTCTGTAAGGAATGTAATCCAGGTTTCCATAATTAAAATACACATATTCTTAATTGCTTTGATTTTGCACAAAATTTAAGATATGTGAATAAATCAGTTTCTTCACCTGAGACTTCCTCTGGACATGAGTTAGACTTCTTGGTATGCAGAAGTGGCCAACACTGAGTTACTTCTCACCTTATGAGTGAGAAACCAGATAAGAGCATATCTGGTCATTATAAGCACAAAGGACAGATGGAAACAAAGAATATTAAGTAGTCTGTTAAGTGGTATGAACTGAAAAACTAAACAGTGCATTTTTAGAATTTTGGCTTTATAACTAATTATTAACTGCAATTGCTGGAATTCTGTTGGCACCAGCTTTCAGCTTTCTTCAACACATTTTATTTATTCTGAGTTCTTGGATCTTCTTACGAGCCTATTATGAGCTGATTCCTGATGCTTGCTGGAAATTACTGGAAATTATTAGCCATAATTTCTTAGTCACCTATTTCACCTACCTCTACTGCTGTTTAACTTCCAGATTCATCAGTAGTAGGTGCAAATTATTTCATTTCTCTTTAATTTCCACTCCATTTTACCAACATAATATCCTGATATCATAATATCATTGATCAAAATATACCTTTGATCAAAACTGCATGAAGAATGATAGAAATACAATATTGTTCAATATAGCATGGACCTTTTGGGCCAATGATGGGGATTGGGACACATTGTGTTACAGTTCTTCACATTCTTCTTCAACAGGTGGTTCTAGTCATTGTTGAGGGGAGAGATAGGAACCACAGGTCTTCACTGATGGGGTGACTCAGGGTTCAATGCTCTCTCTCCCCTCCTGATTAACATTTAAAGAACCCCACTTGGTGAAGTCCTCTGCCGGTTCACAGCTTGGTATCATCACCATATTGATGATAGCCAGTTTTACAAATGCAATTGAAGCTATTTAGGTACTGACTCCTCATCTGGTGGCTGTTTGTGTCTGGATGGGAAAGAAAAGACACCCATTCAATCCCGACCAGAGTGGTTGTGGTTGTTTGGTCCCCCAATTCAGTACATTCCCACCATTAGTCTTGAATAGGGTTGCACTTCCCACTTCAAGAGTTATACACAACTTTGGGAGTCCTCCTGCTCCTCAAAGCTGTGACCTTTTAATAATAATAATAGTAGTAGTAGTAAAGTTGGAAGGGACCTTGGAGGTCATCTAGTCCAACCCCCTGCTCGGGCAGGAAACCCTACACCATTTCGGACAAGTGGCTGTCCAGTCTCTTCTTAAAAACTTCCAGTGTTGGAGCATTTACTGCTTCTGGAGGCAGGCTGTTCCACTGATTCATTGTTCTCACTGTCAGGAAGTTTCTCCTTAGTTCTAGGTTGCTTCTCTCCTTGATTAGTTTCCACCCGTTGCTTCTTGTCCTTCCTTCAGGTGCTTTGGAAAATAGCTTAATTCCCTCTTCTTTATGGCAGCCCCTGAGATATTGGAATACTGCTATCATGTCCCCCCTTGTCCTTCTCTTCGTTAAACTAGACATACCCAATTCTAGCAACCGTTCCTTATATGTTTTAGCCTTCAGTCCCCTAAACATCTTTGTTGCTCTTCTCTGTACTCTTTCTAGAGTCTCAACATCTTTTTTACATCGTGGTGACCAAAACTGGATGCAGTATTCCAAGTGTGGCCTTACCAAGGCATTGAAGAGTGGTATTACTACTTCACGTGATCTTGATTCTATCCCTCTGTTAATGCAGCCTAGCACTGTGGTGGCCTTTTTGGCAGCTGCAGCACACTGCTGGCTCATATTTAGGTGATTGTCTACTAGGACTCCGAGGTCCCTCTCACAGTTACTACTATTGAGCATGGTGCCACTTATGCTGTACTTGTGCATTTGGTTTTTCTTGCCTAAATGTAGAACTTTGCTTTTTTCACCATTGAATTTCATTTTGTTAGTTAGTGCCCAGTGTTCAAGTCTGTCCAGATCCTTCTGTATCTTAAGCCTGTCTTCTGGAGTGTTGGCTATTTCTGCCAGCTTGGTGTCGTCTGCAAATTTGATGAGTTCCCCATCTATCCCTTCATCCAAATCATTGATGAAGATGTTGAAGAGTACTGGGCCCAGAACAGAGCCCTGGGGCACCCCACTACACACTTCCCTCCATATAGATGCAGTTCCATTGAGGACCACTCGCTGAGTACGGCCGGTCAGCCAGCTACGGATCCATCTGGTGGTGGTTCTGCCTACCCCACATTTTTCTATCTTGTCAAGTAGTAGGTTGTGATCTACTTTATCAAATGCCTTACTGAAGTCCAAGTAAATTATGTCCACAGCAGTCCTCTGATCCACTAATTTTGTCACTTGGTCAAAGAAGGCAATAAGATTTGTCTGGCATGATCTATTTTTGACAAACCCATGTTGGCTTTTAGTAATGACTTTGTTTGCCTCTACAAAGCTGTGGCCTTTCACAGGTACATCTTGTGTGCCAATTGTGCCTCTTCCTTGATTAGAAGGTTCTTCCAATTGTCATTCACACCCTGGTCACCACACAACTGGACTATTTCAGTGAATTCCAGATGGGGCTTAAGGACACTACACTACATCTGGACGCTACAAGTGGTTCAAAGTTGCTTGAGCAGTACTGGACATTCCTTGTGCCCATCTGTCAGCATTTGCTACACAAGTAGCATTGGCTACCAATTGGCTTCTGATGCAGTTCCAAGGCACTGTTTGTTATCTTTAAAGCTCATCATGGCTTAGAGCCTGGCTATCTGAGGAACTATCACTCTCCCATTGTTTCAGTAGTATTAATGGTTATTATTTTAACTTGGGAATTCTATGAATAAACTTTAAAGCAAAATAAAATTTGCTACATGTAAGTAAGTTACTTTATAGATATATTCATATTTGGGATGCAGACAGTTCCTGAAAAATAAAATAACAGGGGGGGGGGAATAAAACCTAAAGAAGTTGACATACTTTCTACCAGGATTCTTTGCTGAGCAGGAATATTAACTTTAATCTTTTACTTTATATCCTAGTAGTATTATCATGTAACCTATGTGCAGCTGTTTCCATTTTTTTTGCCAGTCATTATCCCCAAGCTCATTATTCTTTGTACACATACACAGGCCTGTGATAATAGTTGTCAGATCTGGAAATGCTAACCAAAATGAAGTCTTGATATTACATTACATTATTGTGATTATTGCAAAATTAGAAACTAAATACTTTGCTAAGTTCAGGCATTCATGTCAAGCATATTTCCCTTGTAATGTGATTTCTTTATTTCTTCTTTCTTTTCCATTAAATAACTGGGTGATAGCTTCTTTCTGTTCTTTCTTAGATCCAGGTTGGGAAATTCAATCAAACAATTACTATGTTGCATCTTGGAGGAAGTGAAACAGCTATCACAGTTTCAATAGTCATCTGTAGCGTCTTACTCCTGTTCTCTATTGTAGGTAAGAAACCATACTGATTCCAAGTGTGTTAAGCATGCATTTTCAACAACTGAAATTGTTACTATCTATAAAATAATGTATTTACCATAATAGGAGATTGGCTGGGCAACATTCATGTGATGACCACTAGGTAATTATTTTGGGATTTAAGGATTTTCAAAAGATGTTTAAGGTAATCAGGAGGCAAAAGCAGCAAAGCAACATGGTGACATTGTACATATGAGCAGAACTCAACTTTGTAGACTTCTCTGTTTCAACATGGAAGTCTCTTGTTTTTTCCTTTTTCTAGACTGATAAGTCCAGAACCTTAATACACCATAACTGTGTCATTTCATCATTTAAACTGGCAGGAGATTAAACTATTAATGTTTGACAATTATGAGGGCAATTTGGAAATAAACCTCCATTTGGTTATCAATTACAGACACTTGCAGATACAGAACTTTTATTATACGAATTAGAAAACTACAACATTACATTAGTTTTTGACATAATTGCCATTCAAATTGAGGCATTTATCATAACGTCTTATATCAGCGGTTTTCAATCTATGGGTCGCGACCCCATTTGGGGTCGAACGACCATTTTACGGGGGTTGCCAAACAACGCGATCCGCCATTTTTCCCCCTCGGGGCGGCGCTGCGCATGCGCGCCACACATGGGGGGGCACCACGCATGCGCGCCGCGCATGGGAGCGGCGCGTCCGTGTGACGGGGTTGCGGTCACACAAAGGTTGAGAACCGCTGTCTTATATGGTTTGAAATTCTTTCTGCAAAACAATTTCCCACCTGGGAATGAGGCCACCCTGTAACAGCATCTCGAACCCATTCGGTGTGTTTTGTGCTTCTCAGAAAGGAGTTTTGGTATCCAATGAGCACAGAACTTGCGGTATCCCAAATTTTCTTTCACTACCTCATACAAAACAGTCCGAGAAGCTGTAAAGAAAGCGCAAATATGAACCGACGGACTGGGCGGCCACTTCTTGCCTCATTGTGCATGTCATTTCATCCATCTTTAAACATGCAACCCATTGACATATGAGACCTTCACTCACCATGTTTGGTCTGTAAACATTACACAGTTCACGATGAATTGCAGCTTCCAAAAGTTTTTTCACACACAGGAATCGTATTATTGCATGCACTTCACATTTGGAGGGATTTTCTGTGGCAGGGTTCATTTTCAGTTGACCTAGTGGTTGAGTAAACTGCAACACAACCTTCTCCTTCCACTCCTCACTGCCTACTGAACTACTGTGCATGGCACCATAGGGCAGGTGTCGCTATCCCCGCCTATTTCTCGCACATGCTCAAATGGAGTTTTATTTCCGAATTGCCCTCGTATTTGGTGGCTCTGGAACCTGTTGAAAATAATCTTGTGAATGCCATGTAGAATATCAGTTGTCTACTCCTGTATAAATTTAAACTAAATACTGATATTTCAATATAACCTGTGTCCATATTTTACATCTTACCTCCCTGAGAAACATGAATGTTTAATTCACCTAACCACTTTTTCAGTCTCCCATTTTCCTTTTTTATCCATTCATTCTTCTTTTATATATTTTGTTTCACAATACAGTCTTCATTCTCTTTTTATCATCAAACTATCTTAACATTCATCTCTCACTGTTTATTCATTGCACATCGATTCATCACCCATTGATTTTACCACACATGTTGGCTAAGTACTTCATTTGGGTTATAATTCAACTTTTATGTTCCTCCTGACATATCCAGTTTTAATTTCCATATAATAAAGTGAACAGAGCTACAATCTGATACACAACCATTTTTGCTTCTTTCAGTAAATATTCATTTCTCAAAAATATCACATATTACCTGTCATTTTTCTATTATAATTTGTACATCTTAATATTTCTCCGACCATTTTCTCATCTTTAAGAAACATTACACCTAGGTACGCAAATTCATTTATTTTGATATATGCATTATTTCTATCATCTGTCACACTTATTGCATTCAACAACCAAGCCTCAACTCTATGATTACTGAAAAAAGTCATTATTAATCAAATTTCATTGCTTTATCATATGCTGTCTCTAGGTCAATAAGTATACAATAAACTATCATTCCTACATTTCTGCTAAAGAGCAAAAATCTAGTTTGCGCACACACTAGTTTGCATGTCTTAATCAGGATTCTATTGTATGCCTTCTTGGGCACACTTAATAAGTCAATTGTTTTTTTAAAAACATTCTTGTAGCATATATGATTTCATTTTCATCCATTTTTCTTGGACTTTAATGTTTCATTAATTCTACTCATCAGCATATCATTATCATTCAGATACAAATGTCTAAAATGTTCCTTGCTCTCTAATGTTTGAATCCTCACTTTTAATTCTTAATACCATCCATTCTGCTGGAGGCTCCTTGTTTAGCCTTTTCACCCATTTGCGAAACAATTTGTATTCGTGTCAGAATCATTGCATTTTCTCTTCCTCTATAACCTTATCGTTTCTTTTGCTTTTTAACATTCTTTGGCATTATACTTTTCTCAGCCTGATCATCATATAGAGATTTTTTACCATGCTTATTTTTGCAGCATTGTTCCTGTATATATACATTCTTTATATGTATTTATTCTTCTTCATGGCTACTTTATGTTATCATTTGACCAGGCATCCCTTTCCAAACTTTCTATTAGTGCAACTCCAGACTTTTCTGTGGCATTCTATAACAGAGAACTTTTCATTCATCCAAGCAATATCTACATCATCTTTCCTTGGGTCTACTTTCTATTCATTCTTTTGGGAGATTAATCTATTTTATAATCCTTTTTCAAACAGGAAATGTATTTTCCCTCCATTATTTCATTCTTGTTTTTAACTTTCTTTTTCCTCAATATTTTTTTTTCCTATGATCCACCTTAACACTTCCAAAATGGCTTTTCCTTCAATCAGAACATCTCATTATCTTCTTAGCATTCTCTAATTTTCTCAGATTTTCATCAAAAACCAACCAAATCAATCATGCTTATAGATATATACCTATTAATTCTTTTGCCATTTATAATTTATGGAAAAACAGAAATCTTTTATGCTCTGAACCATTTAAGCACATTCAAAGAATAACTAATTTAATGTTAATATTTATTGCTTTAATATTTTTCATTGTTTTTAATGATTGTAAACTGTCTAGAGTCACATCCAGAATGAGATGGACAGCATATAAATTGAACAAATGAATGAATGAATGAGTGAATGAAAAATAAATAAACAAATAAATAAATAAATAATCTCTGCTATTCCATAAATTATCTTTGGTTCTTCCAACCTTGCCATTCAGTGGAGCATACATCTATTAACAACCTAGAGATTTCTACTTTCATGTGCAAGCACAACTTAAATCACATCAATTTATACTTTCTGACATAAATTGTATTTCTTTTATCCATATTTAAAATTACCTTTGTGTAATATACTTCATGGTACCTGTTCATTTAAGTCCACTTCATGAGATCATGCAGTATCTCCTTTATTCAGATCTGCTATATTTTCTCCTTTTATTTTATTTAAGAGTGACATCTGATTTTCTTCCATATCATTTGTTAATTTTTATCATTTTTTAAAATTTATTTATTTTGTGACTCTGAGTCATTGTTGACTACAGGTGACTGCACAGACAAGTCCCCGCAGTTTTTTTTTGGGGGGGGGGGCAACGGAAGCGTTTTGCCCTTGCCTCTTTCTGAGGCTGAGAGAATGCGACTGGCACTCAAAGTTACCCAGACTTTTTAGGGAAACAGCAGAGAAGATTGCAAATGGCAATCATGTGATCCTGGGGCAATTGGCAATCGGTCATAGATACAAACAGGTTGGCAAACATCCAGATCATAATCACATGACCACAAGTGGGCTGGGACAGCCAGAATTACAAAGACTGGTTGTAATCATGATTTGTTCAGCTCTGTTATAACTTGGAATGGTTGCTGACCAAATAGTCATAGATCGAGAACTGCCTGTATAGTGTTTCCTGCATCCAACTGACTTGGAAGTATATGCTGTATATTGCAAGGTTTCAAGAGAAAGCTTTTATTTGTTGGTATACAACTACCACCAGATATACTACATTACACAGATTTAAATCTATTAAACGGATCAGATTGGTTTTCAATAATTCCTTACATATATAAAATCCATACATATGCTTAGTATGATAGCTATGTTACAATTATGATTTCTAGTTGTTTTAATTTAATTATATACAATTAATATCTTTGTTTATTCAGTTTATAACTTGCTTTTCTTCCTCAAGAGCCAAAGCTATTCATAGAACTTATAGAAATTTGTTAAGCAAATATAAATACAATTTATTTTTATGGTATTTTTACTAAATAATAATCTGCTAATCAAAATTATGTTTAACTTTCTCATTTCATTGTTTTTAGTCATTCATTCTGGGCATAAATTTGTCTTGCATATTGCTATGTGCTGTTAAATTCTGCCAAGTTTTGCTGCAGGCTACATATTAATGAGCCTGATTATAATGTTAATATTCTTCTGTGCCAAAATAGTTAATATTGTGCCAGAATTAATACAATCAATTAATACTGAGAGGTTTTATCAGATGTTCACAGTCATTAGATCAATTTACATGTAACATAAAGTACATAAGTGGTAGATTCATGTATTCTGTTTTTCCCCCCTATTCTGATTGCAAGGAGGTGACAGTAAACACTAGCTCCCACTGTCATACACTGATTTTTTAAATGTTTGAATGAGAAATTATCTTTAACATTCACTAGGAAATTACAAGTCCATTAGCAAGATTGAAAAAAATCTCAGAAGAAAACTGTGTTTCTATAATGATGCATGTAAACAACATGTATGTAAACATATAGTAACCATAAGTCAAACGTGACTCAAGGAAGCATATATTTATCTTATGTTTTCTTTAATATGTTTTATATTTTCTTGTCTTTAATTGTTGTTTGCAACTAGTGCTTGTTTCAGTATACCAGACCTTGATTCTGAAAGATCAGTCATAATTAATTGAAAATAACAGAATAACAGAGTTGTAAGGGACCTTGGAGGTCTTCTAGTCCAACCCCCAGCTCAGCCAGGAAACCCTATACCCATGGTGGCGAACCTATGGCACGCGTGCCACAGGTGGCACGCAGAGCCCTCTCTGTGGGCACGCGCGCCGTCGCCCCAGTCCTAGGCCTTCAGCTGGGTTTTATAAAACCTTTTCGCTTTAGGCCTCCACTGCCGTGTGCAAAAAAAAAGTTTCACTCAACCAATCAATTTTAACTTCTCGCGGGAAAAAAAGTTGGAATTGATTGATTGAACTTTTAGTCCCACCCAGTCTGCCGTTACCATCACAGCCACGCCCACCATATGGGCCATGCCCACCCAATTGGCCACACCCACCCAGCACCTGACGATACATAAGTGAGTTTTCAGTTGCAGTTTGGTCACTCGGTCTCTAAAAGGTTCGCCATCACTGCCCTATACCATTTCAAACAAATGGTTGTCCAATCTCTTCTTAAAAACTTCCAGTATTGGAGTATTCACAACTTCTGGAGGCAGGTGGTTCCACTGATTAATTGTTCTAAATGTCAGGAAATTTCTCCTTAGTACTAGGCTGCTTGTCTGGTAGCAGAAGCTTCCAATCTCATTCTAAGAAAAGAAAGGAAGAAGTAGCATTTACAGTTCTTAAGTTTATGCTGGTAGTGCTAAGCTAGGGAGCGTGTATGACTTCAGATGGTATGGAAATACAACTGATGGGATCCTTCACAAAGGTCCTTAATGGACATGTTGCAGATTTTGATTCAGGATCATAATGTAGCTATGTTGCCTACTTTGGTGCTAAGGTGAAATTTGGCATTATGTTTTTTATCACAGTACACCATTCTGTCTTTGACTGTGCAGAGATTTAATAAAATAAATGCTAACACTGTAAAAATGCAGGTATTTAGATTGCACTTAATAAGATAGCTCCTAATTGATGCAAGATTTTCAGTTGTTTCTAGATCCATTTCAAATCCCTACTACAATTATTTCCCCCTTCAAGTTTGGGGGGAAAGTTCTTGGGAAAAACACCTATTTTCATCTTTAGATTTTGGAACTGCTTCCCAGAACTCCTCTTAGTTCCTTATTATCTGATTTGTAGTGAATAACAGAGAGAGAACTTTTCAGTCCTGGTGACTACTTTGGAGTGTTCTTGCAAGAGACGGTCACTTGGGATCCAGGGAGAGGTCATCTGGTGTTAAGCAAACACCTTCTCCTCTTCCAAGTATTTTTAGGGTTTTTTTAAAAAAAAAACCTTACTTTTTCATTTATTTTATTAAAGTTGTAGCTTTTGATTTTATTTTAATATTTTTTTTATGGCACTTGAAGAATTAACAAATAACAAAAGAAAAATAAATGACACATTTAATATTTGTAGCTGCATGAATTCTCCATTTACTTCATAGTTCAGTTGTTTATTATGTAAATTAAATGGTTGATATACCTAATGTCATTCAGTCTTTTCTGAAACTTTTTGATCCATCAGACAGAGTTTCTGCAGGATGGCCTGTCACTAATTGCTTGTTATAATGATAGTATCTAGCCACCTGCTCTTCTGTTTTCAATTGTCTTTACTGGTAATTTCTCCAATTAAAGAGGAGAATTTATTATTTATTCTTCCTGCTTTCACACTGTGGTATATGTCCAGAATGTTTAAATTCTAGTTTCACTACTAGTAATTCCAGGGAACAGTTTAGCTTTACTTCAGCTAATATTTAATACATATTAGCATCTAAATACAGGTATATTCCTCTGGTATTTGGTATTTTGTAAAATATCACTGTAGAAAGAACAACTGAACTTCCTAATCCTTTGGAAACATCTTTTGATATACAACCCAACGGACTAAATTTCAAATCCAGCTCTGATAATTGTTTATCTTTCCAATTGATTGGAAAGCTATTATAGCAGCAGCTATTATAACTTCTGGAATAGTAGATTATATTATGTGTACTTTTTCTTAACAAATAATCATAAATCAGTGCTGGTTTAATACAAAAGATTCATTTGTTATTCTGGCTTTGGGGCCACTTTTTCCCTTTCTGTATTCCAGCATTGTTTGTGTTTTGCACCAAAAGCCGACGGGCAGAGCGTTATTGGCAAAAAACTCTGCTGCAGATGGAAGAGATGGAGTCTCAGATCAGGGAAGAAATCCGTAAAGGTAAGCGTTGTACTTGGGCAGAATGGCGGAGTCATTTGGCAGCAAAGAAATTTATCTTCTGGAATATTATTTACTACAGATTAGGCAGAATAATATACTGTTAGTATTCCTAATAATTTATACATTGAATGAAAGTGACTCATTCTCTTCATTATGGTTTCCTTCAATTAGGTTTTGCTGAACTTCAGACAGATATGACAGATCTTACCAAGGAATTAAATCGCAGCCAAGGAATCCCATTTCTTGAATACAAATACTTTGTGACTCGCACTTTCTTTCCCAAAGTAAGACAAAGTCGTATACTACTATTTGTTATTTATAGGTCTTATATGTCACTTTATTTAGCTCACTCTGAGTAGCTTACAACTTGCAAACCCATATTTTCAGATTATAAGCAGGTTTTAAAATTATAACCATACTTTATAAATGTCATTTTTGGTGATTTTAAGCTCTGTGTATTTATGCATATATATTTCAGTTTTTGTCAAGCTGCCTGTCATCAGGGGTGTGAATGCTATAAATATGTATCATTCTGATACACAGCACAAAAAAGTATATTAATTTTTCACAAAGCAGACTTTCTACCACTTTTAGCTTTAGAAAATTAAAATGTATGGCAAGTATCTAATGAAAACTTCTTTAAAAACAGAAATCTGTGAGAAACTGTAGGCTTATATCTTTTGGTGGGAGTTCTCTATTTCGCCTTTAAGGACCAGTTGTTTTCCTCACATTTTTGGCAACTTTAATTTTAGAAGCAGAATAAATGAAAGCAAATAAAATATAAGCAACTACATTGTATCCAAAGACATTTTGAAGATAAAACTCAAAATATTTTTCTTCAGGTCATTCAAACTACAAGTCTAGGAAAATAAATCAGTTCTGTTGTTTTAGTCTTTTTAAAGGTACAATAGTGCAGATATCCCATAGCCACTGTTTGTGGATTGGCCCTGAATAATTCTCTCTTTGCTGGGGAGGCCTGAATGTTGGACAACTGAGTTCATGATCTCAATATAGTGAAAGCTTTGTTTTTCCAAAATGTGTCTTGTTAAAAGTTGTTCTGCTTGTTCATTCAGAAATCTGTAGCCAGGAGTTTAAAAGTTCCATAGGACATATAAAGTTATATAAAGAGCCGTGGTGGCACAGTGGTTAGAATGCAGAATTGCAGGCTAACTCTATGTACAGGCTCAAGCTTGAGACCTTCCATCCTTCTGAGGTTGGTAAAATGAGGACCCAGAGTGTTGGGGGCAATATGCTGACTCTATGAACCAAAAGCCTCCAGAAGTTTGAATGCTCCAACACTGGACAACCATTTGTCTGAAATGGTATAGGGTTTCCTGCCTGAGCTGGGGGTTGGAGTAGAAGATCTCCAAGGTCACATCCAACTCTATTATTATTATAACCACTTAGCGAGTCCTGTAAAGCACTATGAAGTGGTATATAAGTCTAAGTGCTATTGTTATTTTTTTTCTAATGAGTGGTCTCATATTATGACATCTCCTTATAACTGTTAAATATTAATGCTCTGTTAGCATGCTGTTGAAAGAAAAGTCTTCATCAGGGTCCAGTCCAGGCTGAGAGTAAACAAAACGGAGACTGCTTTAGAAAGAAGGTTGTAGTTTATTGAAGAGCAGAACTATAAGACACGAGGCTCTGGAACAATTGACCAATGTAGCTGGGAGTGATGGGTTTTTATACCTTCTTGGGCTTTTGTGTTTGGAGTTCCTGTTTCTGTGGCATGAACTTTGACCTGAAGTTCTTTTGAGTGTGTCCTTTTTGGTAGTGGTGGGTTAATCCTATTATGTCCTAAAGGTCATGTTTCCTGTCCTTAGTGTTTGGGTGGGGGAATGTAGATTTTAGGGGTCTTTGTCTTTCTAATCTCATTAGCTACAAGCTTCCTGGCGCCAGCCTTTCTGAAAGGATTATCACATCTGCATTTCTACAGGCCTGGTTTCTGCTGAGTTTCTGGCTGGGGGGAGGGAGACTTGGGTCTGTCTTTGCCTAAAACTTTTCATTATTCCTTTGGGGAAATATAATATTCTGCCTTTTTAAAATTTCCTTCTTGGGGGGGGGCTGCTGTCCTCCCACAATGCAATTTAGTAAAGACATGAAGAATTAAATTACACCTCTGTTTTGCTAAATTCAAAATTCTTGCTTCCTTTGTTTATTTTTTTCTAGTGTTCTTCTCTCTATGAGGAGCGATACATACTGCCTTCTCAGCACCTCAATTCCCAGATGGGGTCTCAAATCCAAGAAACTCATCCATTATTGTTGGGGGAATGGAAAGTATGTAATTCTTCGATAAATTCAGCTTAATCTATTATATCCACCATAGTACTGATCATTTTATTATGAGTGCTTAAGAATATGATATATTTGGGATATTGGAAAAGAAAAAACAGAGTAGCTAGTAAAGTTTCTTCTCAAGAAAATAGAAGAAACTGGTGAAATCTCTTTATGACTTGTACAGAATTGGAACATATTATATGTTTGTGAAAATACATAGTATAGTGTAAATATAGCAACAGTATATTCAGTCTTTGATTTATTCCTGAAGAGATTAGTTAATATCACTGATTTATGTGTAGTATTTATATCTGTAGTACTTGTCCATAATGTCTAAAGTAATTCATTTTAGCCAAATAATTCAGTCTGATATAAGCCCACATGGCTACTACTTCAATTACTCTAAAAATAGTGCTTAGTGATTCAAGTTTAATATTAAAAAGTATCTGAGTGAAATGCAAGGAATTCTATTGCTGCTTTCTTTTCTTTAAGGTAAAGTGGGAGAATAGTCTACTTTTTGTACAAATCATAATGAAATCTCTATTAGATTTACTGTTAAAAGGGTTCTGACTAAATTGGAGGAGCTTTGACATAATAGAGTTCAAACATCTAGTTTAAAAATCAGATAATATACGTATCTGATTAATTAGGTTAATAATAAGAAATTCAATATTAATTTCCTTTGTTTGCATACTAGGGTGGTATGTCTTAATATTGGTTTCAGTGTGGTTATTGGCAAGTTTATTTTGTACACTATGTGAAGAAAAAAAATATGAAGCATTCTTTTCTCATCCAGATTGCCGTTTTTTCCTTAGATTCCTGAAAACTGTAGACCAAATATGGAAGAAGGAATTGCATTGTTCTCTACCTTACTTAACAACAAGCACTTTCTCATTGTGTTTGTCCATGCTCTTGAGCAGCAAAAAGATTTTGCTGTGCGAGACAGGTATGACTCCTTGAAAACTTAAGCTAAAGTGAGATAGTACAAATTTAATTCAAGCTGGCTACAGCTGTTATTCTGAAAAATTAGATGAGTCTACCCTGATTTTTTTTCATCAGAAACATTCTGAAAAATAGAATGTTTTTTCTATGCTTTTCTGTACTGTTGCTCTGTGTTTTTTAAACCTAGTATTTGTGCTTATAGAATAAATGTTTTATTTAATTATTTAATAAACTAGAACACAGTGCTGGTTATGAATGTTACATAACAAAATTATTTGTAACTATAGAGATAATCCTGTACATATAACTAGTTGTTTAATGATTGTTCTGAATTACGACAGTCTCAGAGAGGGTCCTGTACAGCCTGTAAAGTCCTACTGGCCATTATAAAATGACACTCCCCACCTCCCCCATTACATGTCTCCATTTCAGGTGCTTGGTAAAAGATTCATATTTATAATTGGTTGCAGGATCCCACAATCATGTGGCCATAATTTGCAGCCTTTTTTGCTGATTTACAGCAAAAAAAGACCCATTGGGGAAAATGGAATCAAACTTACAACAGTCTGATTCGCTTAACTACCGCCATAAAAACATTTGTAAAGTTGGATTGTAATTTTTAAGACCATCTTAAAGTCCATTTTGGTAATCTGGAAAGGAATTTGTTCATCTTCAGTAAGAACTGAAATAAAATGTTAAAAAACTCAAGCCCTTCACAAACCCACAGACCAAATGTTTCCTTTAAAGTAGCCATCTTGTTCTCTAGTAATTAACCTAAAAAATCTTGTTTTGAGTTTGAAATGTAAACAAGACGGATTTTGTTCCTACCCAAGGGTAACTTTCTGATTAACTTTAAATCTTTCTTTAAATCTATTTCACAGAGCCTTAGCATTTAAAAACTTTCCCAAATCTATTTTAAATAGATTTCTTCTTTGTTGAAGAAAAAAAGGCTGAAGAAAAAAATAAAGGACTTACAATTTTCTTTCTTGTTAAACGGATGGAAGAGAACCTCAACCAGCAATTGGCAGATTTGTGATTCCAAAGGATTTCAATCTTAAAGAAACAAAAAGTGATTAAAAAAATTAAGTTTGGATGAACCCTGAGGCCATAAAAGGCTGCATTTACAACTTGATAGAACCCACAACTCCCAGGTGAACACATGAGGCCGCAAAAATATCTATTTCTGCCAGTTACTCACAAAAATCTGCAACCCAGAGTATTTGTGGGCAATCTCTAGTTCTCTTTTTATTCCAGAGATAACTTTGGCAGTCCAAATCCCACATTGACCTTTTTACCCCAATGCCCCTGCAATAATGTGAAATGGAAACAATGTGTTAGCTTGCCTTGCCTCGCTAACTTTTAAACATACACGGGGAGCAGCCTTGATGGCAACAAGTTGAGCATATATGGCTTGCCAACTTTTGTGAGAAGAACCATTCAATACCCACAACATCAGATTTTGAACCACACAGAAAATAGATAATACGGAAAATGTCTTGTAGCTGCTCAAATTTAGAAATGGCAGAATCACAGATAGTGACAGGTTATATTACCTTATACTAAAAAAATAAGAAATATCAAAGGAGCTAAGTATAAAGACCATTCCCTGAACCATTCCCATTTTTATCATTAATGTAGATCTGAACAAGAGCTGTATCTGCAATGAAATATGTCTTTCTTTAGAAATCAAATGTTCCTGCTGTTCTTGTCTTGCTTTAAAAACATCGCCGTGCTGTAGCTCAACTTGCAGGTGTTAACCTTCTCTATTATTATCCCTTTTTTCTTGTAACAATTGGCATCCATTTCTGTCAAAGGGTGGCATAATACAATGTGATTATGCACAGCTGTGATACATATGGCTTGAAACATCAACACTTTTGAGGAGTTTTGTGAAAGCAATTTGGAAGGTTACCATGGTTTTAATTTCTGTTCATGTTGATTGATGAATTGCATGTTGTATTATCAGTCTCAGTTATTATTCATTAACTCTTTCTTCAGATGCAATCTGGCCTCCTTGCTTACCGTTGCATTGCATGGGAAACTGGAGTACTACACCAGCATCATGAAGGACCTCTTAGTAGATCTCATTGATGCTTCTGCTTCTAAAAACCCCAAGCTTATGTTGAGAAGGACAGAATCTGTGGTTGAGAAGATGCTGACCAACTGGATGTCCATCTGCATGTACAGCTTTCTCAGAGTAAGAAATTGGGAAGTGAAAATTTCCATAATTGTGGCAGGTATCCTTATGGATGTGTATAAAAAAGACTGGACATTTAAGACCTTCAGTATATAATTTTCCATTTTATGCACTTTAATACTAGTTATCTAATAAATCGTTATCTAATATTCAGTGTTGTCAAAGTATGAAAAACTGACAAGACAGAAATATCATTTTCTTTTTCTTAAAAAAAAAATCATAGATCCTGGATACATTTTAAACCTGAAGTTATTAATTTAAATTTAGGACAGGTAACATTCTATCATCTTATTATGATACTTCAAATCATAAGAACAGGTAGTGTACTAAATTAGTCTGATATGTCAACTTGTATTTTGACTTTATTGGAGGATTTATCAATATCATTTGGAAGTTTTGCATAGGCTTTTAGTTGTTCTGCATTCAGGTATTGTTGTATTCATGCATTTTTATACTACTCCACAAGAAAAAATAAGTTAGAGATGTCATTATTACTCAACGTTCCCAACAATACCTTTGGACATATAAAACTTAGAGTTTGTGAGCTGCCTGGACCACCCAGAAAACTGAAGAACTATTGAATTGCTAACAGTCCGAAGAAAAGCTAATACATAAGCAGCTGTGGCAATTTAAAAATACAGTGTATTTGAGCATTTGAGTAAAGATTTCAACAAGCAATAACTCTTTCAATGCTGCACTGGAATTCATATGTTGCAATATAGAGAAGATCACTTTTATCATTGTAATGTAGTTAAAAAAGTAATTTGCATGCCAAGAAAAGGCCTTGTGTATGGCAACTTAATTCTAATATTTAGCAGATTTTTTAAGCTGCAAAGATTATCTTTTCTACACAAAAACAAGGTTTCTAATTGGTGATGCTGTGGAATTTCTGTATTTAGTTCTTTAGTATTCAGTTTTTGTTTCAGAATCACTCACGTTTTATAATAATAATTTAATTTAGACTATTCACATTGGCCACATTTCTTTTCAAGAAGCTTTGTCTGCTTTTAGAAAACTACTAACTGATATTTCCATAGCCAGGCTAACCTAATAATCCAAGTATAAACTGCAGCTATTTATGCAAATCTCAGTAATGAGCTGAACATACAAATATTGTCTGTATAATCTCAGCAGATACTGGTTTTCAAGAAATTCTCAAGTTTTAGTGTTCTTTGAAGAACTAAGGTTAGAGATATTTTCAGAGGTAACTTAAATTTTAAAACATGCTTACCCTAAATGTACATTGTCTTCATACACACAGGATTCTTTCAACTATTTCTCTAATTCCTATAAAATTATTTTGGGAATCCTTCATTTGGTAAATACTCTACGTGTGCATTTACAAGTTTTTCCCACTAAATTATGCCAGACATATTTTGATTTCCCAGGGAAAATTCATTAATAAAAACCAGCCTTTTTTAAAAAAAGAAATCTGAATAATATGTATGCTTGAACATAGTTATCCTTTCATGTTTACATTTTTCTGAATTTTATTATGCAGTAATAACCAAGTAAAAAAATACATAATAGTGCGAGAACATTAAGAACTATTTACACTGGTTCAAGGATTAGTGAAAATTGTTGCCAGAAATGAGAAAGAATTTTTATTTGCATAAATATATGTACAAAGATGAACACATTTTTCACTTGTACATTTTTTTTGCCTGATTTCAGTTTTTTCTATCACTTTTTATTCTTTTTCTGCATTATCCTTGCTCCCAAAGAGAATAGTACACATGTGTGAGTGCATGCACATGTTTGTGTGTGCAGAAACAAAATAGAACATATTGTACCTAAAAAAAGGAGATTGTTAAAAGTAAAGCATTCATCTATGTGAATGCTTAATTCCCTCGAATAAGTGCTCATGGACTGTAGTTTTAATGTACATAGTGTTGACTCATTCCTTTCTTTTGTTTATACATTTACATTATCTTTAACAAAGATTGTGGTATAAATGCTATAATTATCAAACAGCAACACTATAAAATATGTTTACCTAGAATTCCCTCATTAAAGAAAATACTTATAGTATTTGATTATAGACATTCAGGGTCTAAAATTTAAATCAAATTATTCCTGTATTAATTTATTTAGTATATTTATAGGCCCTTCATTTTAATATACATGACTCTGGGTAGCGCACAATGAAAACAATAAAAAAAAACAACCAGAAGTAAAATAAAAATTAAAATAATACAAAGTAGCAGCCGAAGAGGACTTACAATCACTAAAAGAAGCCCTAATATGGGCTTTCCATGTTATCAGGGCCCCCAGGCTTGATGTTTTCAGTGCTAAACAAAAGGCCATTTTATGCTTGATGTTAGCTATTCAATAAATTGTGAATAGGGAAAAGTAAGAAACATGTTGTTGTTGTTTTTTAAATGTGGTGCTAAAATCTACTGATCTTGCATAAAGTCACTGTAAGAAAGCAGAAACCTCTCTTGAGAGAAAAGAACTCAGTTGGAATCTGATACCACCAAAGCTGACAGCCTAATATCTCCTGAAGGGAAATATAAAGTAACAGTATATAATTTTCTGGAAGGAAATCAAGTTTTATCCTATGGGATTTGAGTAGGATATCTTATAAAAGAAATTAATATCTGCAGCTTTCAAGCCTCTTTTTCTTTCAATACCTTAATTCCAGTACAAGTGAAGAAAGAATTGTGCATTGACTAGTATTTTTAATACCATGGATCCTATTTTATGAGCATATGAGGGCAAGGGACTTGTTTGAAGGAAGTATTTGAAGCATATAGGGGTGATAAAAGATAAAAGGGTTGTAGTAGGAAATTGAAATATAGTTTAAAATCCCTAACCATTAATCTAAAACATGAACTATTTTGTAAATAATTTGTGCATCCTGCCCCCTTCTTTTAAATCTGAGATTATCCTAGCTATAAGGGGGGAAAAAAGGCAGATGTTGTAGACATACATTGATTCTTCATGTAAGGTGTGATAATAGAGTAATGTTTTGGTATTTTGCAGAGGAATATGATTGGCTGAATCTGAAATAGCCTGCCAGTAAAGTAGACAATTTGAAAGAGTGTTGATTTTAACAAGGATGAGACAGTGCTACCTTTCCATCTGATGTTTAGAGAGAAAGTGTTCACACTCAGTGGTACAGGTAGACCTTGCTTATTATCTACTTTAGATAGCAAACATTTCCACTTACAACAGTGATGAAAAACTATTTTCACAGCACATTTCCTACACCCCTTAGCATATAGGTTGAATAAATAAGAAGAAAGTATATGGCCTTGATCAGAGTTCTGATCTAACTTCATCTTGTAATACTAGAGATTTTTGTAAGTATGGAATATTTCCTAAGATATCTTGGATGTTGACATCTGCACTGTATAGGTGGTGAACCTATGGCACGGATGCCAGAGGCGGCACTCAGAGCCCTCTCTGTGGGCACGTGCACCATTGCCCCAGTCCTAGGCCTTCATCTGGATTTTATAAAACCTTTTCGCTTTAGGCCTCCGCCGCCGTGTGCAAAAAAAAAAAAAAAGGTTCAATCAGTCAATTTCAACTTCTCGCAGGAAAAAAAAGATCTTGCAAAGTTGGAATTGATTGATTGAACTTTTTAGTCCCACCCAGTCTGCCATTACCACTGCAGCCACGCCCACCCAATGGGCCACACCCACCCGGCACTCGACGATGCATAAGTGGGTTTTTGGTTGCAGTTTGGGCACTCAGTCTCTAAAAGGTTTGCCATCACTGGTATAGAATTTCATATGCTCTTCCATCTTTTGTGAATTAGATACTATCTGTCCACTGGCATCACGTAGCACACTAAATTGAGATTGGAAACTCCATATAAGTTCATAATTTTTTTGGAAAACTTTCTTGATAGTTCTGTATCTGTTTCCATTCTCACCATCTTTATTGATGTCATAATGCTGCTTCTTGTTTCTTCTAACAGCCTCTGGAATTCTTTATTATGTTCCTTCATGAGATTGTTGTCTTTTTTGGCTTTGGTTTATCTTCCTGGCAATTTCCACCATGTGTTCAGTTATCCAGTTACTTTCTTCTGTTTTTTTTATTTTTAATCTTTGACAGTCTCTTTTCATATTCATCCTTAACAACTTACAGTATTTATTTTCATTCCACAATTCCTTTGATTCCCTATGAGTGAAACACCAAACTGATTGCTGATGTTTTCCTTGAAAATGGTGGGTATATGTTCAAAATCATATCATGGAAACATGGCTTTATTCTTCCACTTTGGTTTAATTTAAAATCTGCATGTGAGCAATTCATGTTCTGTTTGACAGAAAGACATAGGCTACATCTTTGTTATTATCACTGAACTCTGCCTTGATTTCTCTGTGCTTCATCTGATGTTGTTAATGTATATAGGCATTATTTTAATTGTTTAAGTTTGGGTTAGCAATGAAGAAATCATTGGATTGGCAGAAATCATTCTCCTACTTCATTTTAGTTTTCTTTGGCCATACAACCCAACTATATTTTCCTCCTTAATGTTTCTAATTTTAGCATGCCAATCATGAACCTCAAGCAACTAATCTTGCTAGCACGTTCTGTCTATTTCAAATTGAATGTGACTATAAAACTCATCATTTCCTTTTCTTCATCAGTGATTAAAACATAAACTTGTCATCTTAAAGAGATGTCCATGAAGAATGATTTACATTATTTAGTCACTGACTACATTGTGGACAAGTACTGTTCTTGCCATTCCTTTTTTTTTTCATGTCCTGAGTATGATCTTCTAACTGAAATATGTACAATTCCAGTCCACTTCAATCTACAGTCATGTAAAATATCGGTGCATAACTAATTTATTTCTTCTTTCACTATGTTGTGTTTTTCCATGTTCTTAAGTTTCATGTTTTCACTGTCTTTGGATTTTTTTTTCCTGCATGGTAATCTCAGTTTTAATCTGATCATATCATAAAGGCTATTAGTACTCCAGAGGATCCTCAGGTCTTTAAGAAGTCACTACCTTAGTCAATGCTGTCCACCCTGAGAGGCCT